AAGAGGCACAATATTATATTTCCCTGGATGTGAAAAGGGAGAAACATATTTTTAAAGACAAAGTAGCTCCCTGCAGCTTCCTGCCCCACTTTTGTCAATGATCCATTAAGCCTCAGCTAGTGTACTTTACATAATAAAGGAAGGATTAGCCTTCCAGAGAAACTCACCACATGGCATCTGGAAACTGAAACTTGGCCCCATGGGAGTCTGACAACGCATCAGAACACATTTCTTACACAGGAACAGGAAACAGAGAGATGGAGTGGAACAGAGAGTATAAAGCCAGGAACTTTCAGCCCTTCTCTTTCTTCTTCACCCAACATTGAAGCATGTGATCACCTTTTCTGTTCAGGAACTCAAACCATGTGATCCTGTCCACCATTAAACCATCTTTCCAAGCAGCCTCCATGTCTCCAATGTCTCTTTCTCAACTTGGAGCCGAACTCAGAAGGACATTTTTCCCAACACATGTATGTATGAATGTGTGGGTCTGTGTGTATATATACATTAATACGGTAAAGGTAAAGGTTCCCCTCGCACATATGTGCTAGTCGTTCCTGACTCTAGAGGGCGGTGCTCATCTCCGTTTCAAAGCCAAAGAGCCAGCGCTGTCCAAAGACGTCTCCATGGTCATGTGGCCAGCATGACTAAACGCCAAAGACGCATGGATCACTGTTACCTTCCCACCAAAGGTAGTCCCTATTTTTCTACTTACATCTTTTACATGTTTTCAAACTGCTAGGTTGGCAGAAGCTGGGATAAGAAACGAGAGCTCACTCCGTTATGTGGTGCTAGTGATTCAAACTGCCGACCTTTCTGATCGACAAGCTCAGCATCTTAGCCACTGAACCACTGTGTCTCCTATATACATTAATACACACATATAAATGTATGAAAGTGGTTCTGTGTGATAGATGGATGGATGGATGGATGGATGGATACACACACACACATACATACACACACATTATATATACATTAATACATTAATATATATTATATTACAGGGGTGCGTTGGCTCAGTGGCTAAGACGCTGACCTTGTCGATCAGAATATATTTAGTCATGCCGGCCACATTTAGATTTAGATTTAGATTTGTTTATTTATAGGCCGCCCTTTTCCCTGAGGGGACTCAGGGCGGCTTACAATCAAAAAAGGGAAGGGGAGTGTAGGACAATACCAAAAAAAGATGTGCACAAAGTAAATTAGACAGTAAAACTCAACATTCACTCAGCATTCGGGAGGGGCGAAAATAAGATTATCCCCAGTCTGGTCTCTACATGACCAGAGACCTATACATTATACATAATAATACATTAATATACATGTCTGAATTTGTGGGTTTGTGTATATATACATTAATACACATGTATGAAAGTGTAGGTCTGTGTGTATCAGAGATGGGTTGCTGCCGGTTCAGCCCAGATAGGGCGAACCAGTAGCGGCAGCAGGAGGCTCCGCCCATCCGGCCGGTTGCTCCTGCACATGCTCAGAAGCTCATATGCGCGACAGCATGCCCAAACCGGTAGTAAAAAAATTAGCAACCCACCTCTGGTGTATATATACATTAATGCATACATGTACATGCATTCTCTGTATTCCATGCATGTGTATTATATCATATGCATATTTATATATTTATATAAATGTAGATAGATATACAGAGTATAAGGTCCCTTCCAACTCTGTTACTGTTACTCCGTAGTAAAGATCACTCAGCTAAGCCACAACTACATCTATTCTTTTCTGATCTACAGGAAAAACTCCACCGTCTCTGTATAAATTATATAAAAATATTATAAAAATATTATAAAAATGTGTCACATCGTATACATAAATACACACACACACACACACACACACACTCCATACTCTTTTCATATACAAAGACTGTACTGAACACTCCACATATACACCCCTCCCCCCCTAATCAATGTGTTTGACATGCAGGACGATCGCCTTGATGAAACCCATGACAAAATTTGCGGAAGTGAACCATTTGCGTCGCTCTACACCTTTTCTATCTCTAGGATTGCATTTCCCCCCCTTAACGCTAATGGCTGCGATTGTGGGCGGAAGTGGCTGTGTGAGCTCCGTTTCTGGGGGGGTTTCCGGGTTCCCGGGTTGAGTTTCCGGGTTGTCCACCGGTGGGGGGGGGCTTTTCTTACGAGACGAGCAAGACGGTGGCAAGAAGAAGCGCTTTCGCCTTCTAGTGGGAGCGCCATGTCGGGACGCGAGGGTAATACTTGCCTTGAGATGGATGGGTTACGATGGCGGGAAAGAGGGAGAGCGAGTGGGAGGATTGCGGGGGAAGCTGATGGCAGAAGCGGAGGGGTCTTTGGGGCGAGGGAAGAAGCTCTGCTGGGCTGATATTTGGGGGGGGGGGACCTGTTGCAGATCCTATTTGGTGCATGCATGGGGGAGAAGGCTTCAATTGAGTCCTTTCTATAATCTGGCTCCTTCCTGGTTTCTTCGACTCCAAGCCCCATCATGCCCAGCTGTTAGGGTTATGTTGGATGGGTGTGATAGGAAGGTCTAATCTGGTCCATCTGGAGAAACTAAACATGGTTGGGGTGTGTAAGGTTTTGTTGTAGCCCTCTGACACTTTGCTTTAGCACAGTTCCTCCAGGTACGCTGGGACATTCAAGCCCCAGAATCCCCAGCCACGAAGGTATTCTGGGAATCCCCAGCATTTGGCAGAAGACACACCAGATCGGGAGACTTTGCACTGTGGTTTAATTTCATATTCTCTCCTTTGCTGCAGGTGGGAAGAAGAAGCCCTTGAAGCAACCCAAGAAACAGTCGAAGGAATTAGATGAGGTGAGGAAAAAGTGAGGGGGGGATGGGAAGAAGATGTTTGGGGCTGCTGGGGAAATTGCATGGTTTAAGAAGATGGTTAATGCTTGGTGTTCGTTTTTAACTCTGGTTGGTTAATGTCTTAACAGGAAGATAAAGCTTTCATGCAGAAGAAGAAGGAGGAGCAAAAGAAATTGGATGAGATGAAGACAAAAGCTGCTGGCAAGGGCCCTCTTGGTAAGTTGCTTTCTTTTAAATTCCCTGCAAATGAGGGATCCTCCCTAGCAGTGCAGCTACAGAAAGAGTTCAGGATAAAGAAATACCAGGAGGACTTGTAATGAAATTAGTGGTGAATCACAAGATTCAGACACACAACATTTTAGTCTCTGCTTTTTTTAAAAAAATAGAATGTTTCAATTAACCACTTTTTCATTTTGAAGAAACTCCAAGAAGCCTATGAAAACTTAAAATGAAACAAAACTTTTTTAAAAAAATAGAATGTTTCAATTAACCACTTTTTCATTTTGAAGAAACTCCAAGAAGCCTATGAAAACTTAAAATGAAACAAAACTTTTTTAAAAAAATAGAATGTTTCAATTAACCACTTTTTCATTTTGAAGAAACTCCAAGAAGCCTATGAAAACTTAAAATGAAACAAAACTTTTTGTTAAAAATGAAACAGCTTA